CACACACACACACAAATAATAACAAATTTAACACTTGAACTATAATGTTAAATGGTTCGTTCTACGAGTACCTATACCATTGTTAATACCGTCTACTATTTTTAACATTGAATGTTACAATCTTAAAATTCCTTTATTTATAACGACTTATAACTACACTAATTTTTGCGGCATTTTTCAGTTGTTTATGAGTAATATCTTCGAATTTCAGCTAGTATTTCTTCATACGTTGATTCATCAATAATAATGAAACGTTTAGCACGTCTACTGAAGTAATAAATGTCTCCAGTATAAATATCAAACCACAAAGCATGTATGTGCAAGTCATGTTTTTCTAAACGCTTTTTTAGTATTCCATATGATGCTACATTTTGTAGTTGTTGCAGAGTGTTCACCTACAGCAAAAATATCAATTACATTTTTATACATAAAATTTATAAAAAATCGAACCGACTTTCATAATTTATAATAGATCTAAGATTATTACGCGCTTTACTAAAGGGATCAATCAATGTACGCTCTAATATGTCCTTTTATTTTATTTACAATTGGACCTTGTCAAATCTTCTGTGATGTTTTCAAATTTGTCCAAGTTATTTATATTTTTGTTACGGAAATACTCACATACCTATCTCTATTCTATCAACCTTAGCTAACATTTTGTCAAGACTCTTATTAACCCGTTCATAAACAGTAAGGTTTCCAGAAAAAAAAGATCACTATATTTATCTCAAAAAACCAATTAGAGCTATACAAATTCCAAGTATTTTCTGAGTAGTTGCCGCCTACTGCTTCTACAATGTAGAAGCATTAGGTAGTATGTCATACAGAAGTATCAACAACGTACTGCCAGAATAAATGATTTAAATTGAACATTTATTGTTGAATCATTATACGCGCTACGATTTGGTAGGTCAATGGCTACACAGATTACAGAACACAAAGAAAAGTAGTGACGTTTTTGTGAGCGGTTTTAAGTACTGTCCATGAACGGGTAAAATTCAAGATTAAGCAATCACAAAAAAAAGTATTTGAGCGGACGTCAAATAATTTTTTTGAGGTATTTTTACTAACAATATTGCTGTAAACTACGTAACAAATATTATTTTAATAAAAAAAATGCAAAAGTAAAAACTTATTGGCATTTTCCTAGAATCAGCAAAATCTTTTGATACAGTCTCTGTCCTTCTGCTTATTTCCAAATCGGAGAGGCTTGGGTAAGGTATACCTATGCAGTTATAAATTGTTCAAACTTATTCAACTAACCGAATGTGTTAAAATCGATCATTGGACGAGTGACGAACTTTCTATAACTTTTGGTGTCACTCAGGGTACTATTCTTGGACCAATGCTGTTCATAGTTTACATTTATACTATGCCTAGGTAGCGGTTGTCGTGTGGCAGAGTGTTCATTAACTCACACTGGCGCAGAATCGAAGCGTCGCGTCGCGTCGTTTTCAGTAACAAAAAGGCGAAGGCGAAGGTGCGCGTCGACGCGCGATTCCGTATGTGCATAACACATGTTTGTACCTTAATAATGGGAAAATAGAGATGAATATGCTATAGGCGAAAAACATGACGGGTCGCGATGCTTCGACTCAGCGCCAGTGTGAGTTGACGCAGATGACACTGCTTTGGTATTCTACGAACCACTGACCGAGTTTTGCGATTATACTCAGTTAGGCTTTAATATTTAAATGGTAAAAGTGCAACGTTTTGACTCTAAACCTAGAAAAACATATATAATTAGTTTTAGTTAACGCTAAAACTTATAAAAAATATGAAAAAAATAATAAAAAAATTGTAAAAAAGCCACGCAACCTAATCTAAATAACCGTGGTGTCATTGTCCATTGCTGTAGCTCCCCCGACTCGACGTATCAGCAACTATCCTAATATTATTAAAAACTGAGTGTGTTAAATTTGCCTTTGAATCGGACATTGATGTACTTTACTCAAGACTTCTACAATTAATTATTTTATTTAAAGAACTGTGACACGTTGCCGATATCCACATAATTAAAACCGTTTATCTGGCCCTCTGACAATCTCTGCCAACGTACCTATAATTGGATGGAGAGGTGCGGATAAAATAAACCTACTGAACTTAGAAGGGACTAAAGAGCTGTACTGAAAACGGGGTGTAAACTACCCTTTCCTGAATTTCATTACTAACCCTTAATAAATTTCTTTAGTTCTGTCGAGTCACCAACTGTTTATTCTATATACACTATTGAGGGCACACTCCCTAGTCAAGTATGATCTGTAACCTGTTTTTCCCACCTTTCGCCGCGTACAGCAGCTTTGAATATCGATTATTTTGTTTATATTAGATAACAAATTAAACTTTTGACTATATAGCTCAGCAAATATGACTGTAAATGTGTTATGGCTAATTGGTTGCTGAAAATTTTACTGTCATGTTATATATTTAATCATTTTCATTTGATTATTATTGTTGGTTGTAACTTCTTGTAACAAGTGTTATACATACATATACTTGTTTATTACCTGTGATAATTTGTCTTCTATACAAAAAGTATTGTCTGGGTCTATGTACGCCACGAATTTTCTATGAGGTGTCTCAGCAGAAAATAACATAGGCTTAGAGAAGTCGCCATTCATTGCTAAAAATTTCCTTAAACTCGATTCACCATGGTTGCAAAGCCAAGATTTTAAAGGAGATATTCTTCTCTGTTCCTGTGAAACAGTTAATATTATATCACTTACAATAGGTATGAATATACAAATAATTAATTACAATTAATAATTAGCAGCCTTCTCTGTTTATACAGTATAAATTATCTGATGCTATTCAAAAATTAAACATTAAAACAAAAACTTTCACATTTAGTACTAACCTTACTAGACTCTTCTTTACTCTTGAGTTTGTATAATAAATTCATAGCTTTACAATCACTATGTCCACAAACAATTATATGCCTAATATTGTTTATGATACAGGCAAGTTCTAAACCTGCAGGTTCACAGCTTGTCATCTCATCGAGAAAGTATTCAGAGTGAGGTATCACGTTGCCGGCATTTCTAACTGTAAATTAAATTATTAACTATTGAATAAATCTGATGACACTAATCATTTTGTATTCTGTAGTCAAGCTTAGATTCCGTTGCAATGCGGTCGATATAAAAAATCGTACAAATCGCCCGGGTCAAATATAGATCTTTAGTTCATTGTTATCAACCCATTTATACGTTTCATTGCTGGGCACGAATCTCCTCTCAGGCGAGGGTATAGGTCATAGTCCGCCATTCTGGCTCAATGCGGGTTGGAGAACGTTTTCCAATAGTTGTGCACCTTTTTTGACGTGCAGGATTCATCACGATGTTTTCTTTCAAAAGCTCATGGTAAATTTCAAATTTAATTTCACACATAAACCCTGAGAAACTCACGAAGTGCGAGTCCGGATTTGAACTCACAGCTTGAGAAACAGTGATCAAATCATTAGGCTACCAGAACATTATTATAATATTTATTTACTTTACATTAAAAATATTGGTATTTAACTATTTATTGGTATGAAAGCTTTTTGGTGGGTAGATAGTTTAAAAGCTATTAGCACTTCAATGCGCGTGAATCGCAGATTAATGCAAGGATGATACCTATATAAATTTAAGAAATATACTATTTTATAAATATAACGTAACGCGTTGTTTTTATAATGATGAAGTCCCAAAACCTAAAAGTTAGTTTCAGTACCATAACTTCAATACGCAGAAACATTAATACATATTGTGAAGACACTTACTTACGAACATGTCTCCCACACTGGTTTCTGTGAACCTTGTTGGAATCATTCTGCTATCCATACAGGTGTAAAATATAGCTTTAGGCTATAACAATAACATATTGAGCATTGAGTAGAGTTCTAGAATACGACCCTCAGGGTCGTATTCCAATGGTCAAGTCAGGATTTGAGCAGACTTGAGTATGATTTCAAGCACTGGAAATACGACCCTAATGGCAGGGACTTGTGATTTAAACCATACTCAAATCCTGACTTGAGCATTGAGTAGAGTTCTGGAATACGACTCTGAGTATCGCATCCTCATTATACAATATTTAAATTTTTTTTGGAAACTGACAATTGAAATAAAATTTAAATAAGATTTTTTTAAATCAAATTGAATCATTTTACTTTTGGCATAAGCCAAATGACCTAAGTGGCTGGTGCCACTTAAGTTTGTTTAAATCTATTTTGTCAGTTCCCAAAAATTAATTTTGAATCGTCACTCTATTACTGAGGGTGCGACAATGATCTTAATTGGGGTGCGATATGAAGGTGAAAAATCACCGCTGTAGACGATGTGTAAACATAAATAAATCATAAATAAATCGAGTGAGCGACATTGTGGTTAAGGTTCTCTAATACAAGTGCGAAATACCAGGCCGGAATTTAGTCAATGCGTTACTGCTATATTAGTTTTATTACATTTTGTGTGGTGGTAAATATGTATTATATTATTTATCTCTAATATCTCTTCGAAGGTTGTGGTAATTACGTTGTCATGCAACGTAATTAAATAGTATTACTGTTGGGTAGTTTTCCGAACAATTTGAAATAGTGGAAATTTTTTCGGAAATATTCCCGAAAAATTTTGAAAATTGGAAAAGTATAATTTCGAAGGCTCATAATTATTATGTTCCACGCTTAGAATAATAACGCATAGATATAGAGAGAAGAAATGAACTGTCACAAGTGAGGCAAAAATCAAATTCATGTAGGCTAGTTTTAGTCGTAGGTTAATTTTCGGTTTTAGTGAATATTTATATAAAAATACAAGTTCAAACGCGTTACTTCCTTGTGGAATGTGATGTTAGTATCTATTTTATGTTTGTCTGACGTATTTTTACTCATTCACCGCACATTTCGTCATTTTTAGCTAAAATTCTGGAGCTGTTCGCGGTGCAAGTTGACCTTGAGCACTGAAGGCCCGCCCGCTCGTGTAGGCCCTTTGGGAGCGCTTCAATTTGCATCACATAGCGTGTGCGGGCTAGGTTTCTATGCGTTATTATTCTAAGGTTCCACGTTTAGAAATATCTTTTGAAGTTTTGTTTAGCGAGAATTTTGAAACAAACTTGTATAGCTAAAAGCCACATAGAGAATAAATGAGATTTCAAATGATTTCTTCTTCTTCTTCTTTTAAATGTTATGGCCCCATCGAAATAATCAATGATTTTGCCAATGTCAAGCAAAAATAACTATGTACGGTAGTTTTATTATTATATATAGTAAGTATTATTATAAAAATTATACAAAAAAAAAAGGCGATTTCGCCAATGTCCTGTGAGATATCATCTCAAATGATTTCTTAACAGCGAACACTCGAAGACAGCGAAAAACATTTTTTTTAATGGCTCCATCGTTTTCGTTCAGTAACTTCAACTTTTGACAGGTGTCAACGACAAATGTGGTTTTCCACATTAACTTAGACTATGGAAACCTTAGAGGTGAAAAAAAAAGAAAAAAGATTAGGAGGTGCCCTAACTACGGAATGAACGTGCATACCTAAACTAAACTTGAACGAACAAATGGCGGATTTCACTACAACAAAATTCAACAAAATTGTCCACTCGTTTTTTCCCCCACTAACAACTCTAACTACTAATAATTCTTATTTTATAAAGCCAGCAATACAATGACCATGTTGATCCAACGTTGCCGGGTGAAGGCCAATACCAACGTATAGACAGCTTATTTGCCTTACCTTGCCTTGCCATGTTTCGGTGTCACTCGCCTAGCTGACTGAATAAAGGCGAGCGCTAACGTGTTCGTTTGACGACACAACTTGCAGTCGCTCGTGATTACTTGTCTGACGTCTTAGAAGTGTTGATTTTTCTGTACAAATCAAAGGCGCTCGGCCAATAGTAGTCAATTGGCATTGTATACTCAGACATTTGCATGCTATTTAATATAATATATTATTATTATTATTATATTATTATCGCATATTATGCGAAACATGTTTATACTAACACTGTCTCTTAGTACATCTCCTGTTACACCATGTTTTAAGCAAATAAACGTATGATAATAATATTATTCTTGATAGTATTAATACTTTCATTTATTTCCAAAATTAAATGGAAGTATTAAAGATTCACTTAAATCAGTCACTGATATTAACTCTATACCAATGCATAAATACAAAAAAGTTTTTGGAATCTGTTTAAAAATTTCTTCATGAAAATATGAATCTTGAGGTTGGAAATGTATAGGAGTTATATTTCAAAGTTTTCTCTTTTTTATATACTCTTAAATAACATTTTTTCTGTGCAAATTCACTTTTCGTAATATTTGAGTATTTGTAAACGCAAAACAATAAATTCAAAATTTCATGTGACATTCCCGGATATTCTCATTTAACCTAAAATATTCCCAAATGGAATATTGATCTACTTTAATTAAATGTTTGCATGTCGATAATGACTTATCATTGATTATGGTACGACACTAAGGAAATCCGCCATTTGTTCGTTCAATTTTTGTTTAGGTATGCACGTTCATTCTGTAGTTACCTCCTTTCTTTTATTTTATTTTCCATCCTCTTAAGAAAATTAAAGATAAAAGATATTGGAAAAATATCCGGAAACAAACAACCTTCTGACTTTATGAACGAAGATGAAAACGTCGAACTAACTCGACCCTGTCAAAAGCAAAATATTTCTTTGCCATCTCAGATTGAATTCAGTTGGAAGGTGAAGTTGAAATAGGACATAATATTAACATAAATCTATTTAAAGAGTAGGAGAGGTGCACAATATAGTACTGCATTAAAGATTAACCTTGCCTGAGCTCGAAGTAACTTATTTATATAGATAAAGGTTAGTGCAATGGTACTTACAACTGGGTTATCTTTGACTTGTTGGAATTGTTTGACCATACTGGCCCTGTCCAAAACACGGTATCTCATAATACCTCTCAAAATTCTGTCCATATTTGTTTTATTTGTCACACACAAATGTTTTTTTGAAATAATTAAATGTAGGAGAGCGCCAAAGAACGCGTGCGAGTGTTTAGCTTTGTCTTGACATCTCTGACCTTCATTGGCGAAGCTTATCGCGTAGCTGAGTTGGTAAACGAAGAAAAATTGTAGGTCAATGTGCACGTTCCCGTTGCGGGGTGGGGAAATGCGTAATAGGTACATTATCTACTTCATTTATGATAATCAACTTGTTGATCTATATATTCACTCACGTGTATTTAATGATGGATCACGGTATGTTAAATTTTGATTCCTATTCAACTATACAACTCACTGAACACAGCTAGAAGCAAAGAAATTAGTACTACTACAATTCAACTGACTTTCTTATTATTGTTATGCATTTTACAAACTGAAATTTATTTCAGATGGATGTTGAAAGCACTATTGGCGATGGCAGCAAGCATCAAGAGCAGGATCTGGAAGAGTGCCCCACTTTGCCTGTGAACCACCGGTTCTTAGAGCCTGAGAAGGCAGTTAAATCAATTACTGACATGGCTCTATGGGAGAAATCTGAAGCTTACATGGAATACACAGGGTTCATAGCCACCCTTAATGAAGCCATCAAGGGAAAACCTCTCTCTGTCGACTGTAAAGTCTCATCAAACGTAAAAAAGATTTTGTCTGTTTTACATGAACTAGACAACTATATAAATGAGTTCCCTCCTATTGAACAACCACAGAGATTTGGCAATATTGCTTTTAAGGACTGGATCCACAAGGTTAAGTCTAATACTACACAGCTGTTACAGGATGCACTGCATGATAATTTACATCTAGCTATACCTGAAATAAAGCTATATCTGGAAGAGAGCTTTGGAAATGCCACAAGGATTGATTATGGAACTGGGCATGAAATGTCATTTGTTATGTTCCTCTGTTGCTTGTACAAAATAGGTAACTTGCTTCCTGATGACAATGTTGCAACAGTGTTTCTAATATTTAATAAATATCTCAGTATTGTAAGAAGATTACAGAAAATATACAGAATGGAGCCAGCTGGCAGTCATGGGGTCTGGAGCTTGGATGACTACCAGTTTATACCATTCATCTGGGGCAGTTCACAGCTCATTGACCAGCCCAGAATATTCCCTCCTTCCAAATTCTTAGAGGATGATATTATTGAAAAATTCTCAGATGAATATATGTTTTTGTCTTGCATTAAGTATATAAAGGAAGTGAAAAAAGGTCCGTTTGCTGAGCACTCAAACCAGTTGTGGAGCATAAGTGCAGTTGGCTCCTGGACCAAGATCAACCAAGGACTCATCAAAATGTACAAGAAGGAGGTTCTTTCTAAGTTTCCAGTAGTACAGCATGTTCTGTTTGGCTCTCTGCTGCCAATACGTAGATTTCCAATCACACATTAGATATAATAAATAATTTATCATATTGGACGTCAGCATAACTGTTAATAAAGTATGTAATTATGTCATAATTAGTAGGACATATTATGTCTGTATGGTGACAGCTTCTAATTGTTCAACTATTCATACATGATGTTAATCACTCTAATTTATGACAGAAATTCAGTATTACTAAATGGTTGGACAAAGTGTTTTTTTTTTGTGTTGATGACTTCAATAAATTACATGTGATACTAATTGTAAGAGCTTAACGTTCTTAAAATCTTGAGATTATTTAAATGTGATTGATTCAGAAATGTATTGCATAAATGCATTCTTGCTTTTAATTTTCATAATCACAAGAGTAATTTGCATCTGTGCATAACCTTCTTACTGTAATATGTTTTTGTTTTGGTGTATAACAAGTTGTGGTATCTTATAGTGTTGATGTCACTAATTGTGTTTGATACTGAGAATAAAGTCTCATGTTGAATATTTTTTTTTTGGATATTTTTAATTTATTTTCTCAAGAATCAGGTATGAATATGACTTAGAACACAAGTTAATTCACAAATAAAATTATATAATATGTACACATTTAAACATCGTAACATTGAATGAATATTACTTAAGATTACATTTAACAACTTACAATCATTTATTATTTATGTTTACAAAAATTTGTAAAATTTTGAATTACAAATTTTTGTTATTATTAAGGTAACATGGATGATACAAACTAATGACTAAGCTTTGATGTTAATTGCGAGTCCTTACATCACAAGTTTTAAAATTTAATGTTGGTTAGGCTTCGGTAAGGCGTTGACTGGATCTTTCGTGGAATTGAAGTGTGTCTTATATAGGGTGTAAGCCATGCCAGCTGTGAGGGCTCCCACGGCGATGCCTTGTGAGATGACACGGAACTGCATGAGGAAGACGCTGGTGCTCATTGCGCCGCGGTTTTTGTATTTGTAAACGCCATAGCCCACTGCTGACGTAAGTCCAGCGATGCCTGGTATTAACAGAATACATGGTTAGAACTTAAATATTTAGCAAATCGTGTTCAGCACGGTAACATGCCGTGTTCGACCGCTAGGCTCGCATCGCGCTAACTTAATGTGTGTCTGAGTGCTTACACACGGCAACTTTTAGCTTGCGATTTATAGGCGATCGCATCGATGCAAACGCGCAACTGCATCGATAGCATCGGTGCAATCGCCTCCCAAGTGTAGCGATGCAATCGCGCGTTTGTTTCGATGCAGTCGCGCGCTTGAATCGCTGCTTAAAATCGCGCGCGAAATAAGTAACTGGCCAGAGGTTTAGTTAAAAAAAAGCTTTATTTAAATGAACAGAGTAACCACTAGGTTCTAATCAAAAACAACAATCAATCTAATTCTAATTTACATAGGCTTATATACTAATTTATTCATTTGTCAGCATGTGCGCAACTGGCACGGTTGGGTGTGCTGACAAAACGGAAAGAGTCACAATCTCTTTCCTTAACTCCTCCCTCCCCAAGTGAGGAATTATCTGAGGGTGACGATGAAGCCTTCAGAGAATTCCGTAGTAATAGAAACTTAGTACGTAGTTTATAACAGGAAAAACTTACTACTACCATTATTAATAGCACATATAGTACTAAAGTGCCTAAACTTATTTGGTCGCTCACTATATAATCACTGTTTATCGACTCATCATCACTGAAACTTATTTTATGGAGGATGCTGGTCACTTCACTAAAGTCAACTCCTCGAAGATCTAATTGCTCTTCTCGTTGGTTAGTTTGCTTAATTTCTGGCAGCTGTACTGTTGATGTGGGTATCCTGAAGCGAGTTGTATTTGCTGGGAGGCTAATAACTGTGTTTCGCAGTTTGGATTCGGCGTTATGATGTATGTGTCTCGTAGTACTTGTTTTTGGACTTCATTATTGCAGCTTTCTGTTGCTCTAGTGTCGTTACCTACGTGAGTAGACTAACCACCTTCCTTCGTGAAGTTTAAGGATTCTAGTTTCTTCTATTTGGACTGTTTTTTGTTGGCATGATGTGTAATTTTTCCTCAGCTGCATAAGCTGGTCTATGCAAGTCTCCTCAGGGTACTGCTCCATAGATTCCTCCGTACATAGGAATCTCTGATCTTCTATGTGTTCGCAGGGGCTTCTAAAGGGCCTGTATTTCAATCTATTCACCAGTAGGTAAGGGTATTGGGGGGTGATAATAAATGTTATTTGTTTGGTAGGGTTAAATATTGGGATTGGGATTACCTTGTAATATATATACGTGTCGCGATTTATTAATGGTAATTCTAGAATGAATATTAACTTAGAATTATTACTGAAAGATTTAAGTACAATATTACGTTCTAACTTAACTAAATTATCCATAGTAACTGGATACAACAGCTGAGCGTGTTTGTTTACTATTGTGAGTATATCATATAACTCGGTTGAATTTATTATTGACTGATGCAATGTGTGGAGTTTGCTAAAAGCTATTGCTGACTCAATATCCTGAATGATACTATAAATGGTTCGGAAGTTATTAAGAATTTGGTACATGCTGTTTAATATACGGATAGAATTGCCTAGTTTGTTTTCACTCTGTATTAAAGTTTCTATTTGCGAAGTTGTATGGTGTATATGATTGACGTTAAAGTTTATTGTATCTGTAATATTAATTAACTTATTAAACGCTTTTTGCATTAACGATGTTTTTCTTTCTATTAAATGTTCCCTATGGTTTAGCCTACTAATTTCCTTATTATATCTTAACGCGTCGTCCTTGTCTAGGTTACCTCAAATAAACTTAATTACTGAGCCTAATGGATTGACCAAGCCCCTTTTTACTCTACCTGATGATGACGGTAAAATTTGGCTGAGTCTATCCTTGGTTAATTCTATTAAGGTTTCGATATGTATTTTGGTACCTAGAAAATCTCGTCTTAGTTCCGATTGCTTATTTATGATCTCCTTTAATTTAATATATTCATGTAAATTATTTTCTATTTGTATTCTAATAGTCTCTAGGTCTATTAATTTAAAAATTGTCCACTTATTATTCTTGATCGCTGCTGTTCCAATCCTCATCGGAGTTATTCCTGGATTCCGTTCGAGATTCTGGATCTCCAGGCTGAATCCTTGGTCGGCTAGGGCCAGTAGAATCGTCAAGCACCACCTGTGGAGTTCGTTTTATGTTTTTCAACGCGACTCTAGTTTTTCTTTTTCTTATTTGTACTGGTACGGTGTTCCTTTCGGGGTTTCCTATGACTTCAGCTCTATCGTACCTGGGTAATTATTTTGCTTTTCTAGTCCGGGTGTTTTTCATAAATATTTGGTCACCTTTTTTGATAGTAGGTGGTTCTTCCCCTCCCCTTTTTTCTCTTACTGTGACCTTATCTTCCTTCAATTTTTCTGAGATATGTTCGTATAAAACTTTTAGACGCTTTCTATGTTCTTGTAATAATTTTTGCATAACAGTACGTTCTCTATCGACATCGAATATATTGCCTAAATCTGTTTGACCAAAGGCTATTTCGAAAGGGGTTAATTCAGTGGCTGAATGTATGGTGTTATTATATCCCATTATTACATAGGTCATCACCGACACTGCGTCCTGATCGCTTTTGGGATATCTGGCCAATCTGTACATTTCGATAATCGTACTATGGAATCTCTCGACTACCCCCATCGAATTCGGATTGTCTGCGTACCTATGTGAAGGTCTATTTTGTGGATTGCCATGAGTTCTTTAATGAAATCGTTGTTGAATTCTGTCCCTGAGTCTGAATTTATTTTTTGAGGTATTCCGTACATACTAAAGTATTTTATCAATACACGGACAACTTCGTGGGTACTTCTGTTGGGGATGTTCATGGTTTGGGCAAGTTTACTAAACGCATCTACGACTGTTAGATAATATTTGCCCTCAATATACAGGAGGTCCAAATATACTTCTTGAAAAGGAGCATTTTGCGTATTAGTTAATTGAATATGAGGCTTAAGGGGTTTTCTCTCATATTTCATTTGTTTGCATTGTTCGCAACTGTTAATGATGGCTGTCACGGTATCTTTCATGTTTGTCCACCAGTAGTGTCTTTTTAATTTAGTTAAAGTTTCCCTGATTCCTCTGTGACATGTTTTGCCCTCGTGGTATTTCAAAATTACGTCCTTCTGATCTATTTCTGAGTCTGTTAAATTAACAACCCTTTCTGTGCATTCTATTAAATTTAATGTCCCCTTATTATAAAGTTGCGTTACTACTTCTGAAAAATCTTTCCTAAATAAGGATGTTTCAAAATAAATGAAATATTTGTGTTTTAGGTCCACATATTCTTTCAAAAATTCCTTTATAAGTTCTTTATTATTCGTGGGCATATGTACTTCTAAAATACGCTGTTTCCCATTTGAAATATCTTTGACATCAAATTTATTTCTTGACCAAGTAAACACCATAATTTGTTTTGGTTTGGTGTCAATACTTTCGTTTAAAATAGGGATTCCTTCATGTTCCCTGTTTGAAATTGAATGTGCAGTAGCTCCATCGTCTGATTCTAAAGTTTCTAATTCTATATCTTGCTCTAACATCACTGTATGATTGCTAGTGTCTGAGTCGGATATTGATATATGGGAGATATCTGAATTCTCTTCGCTTTTTTCTCCTTTTAACATTTTTGTTGCTGTGTTTTTTACAAATTCGTCTATGTCGAATTCGTCGTCGTTTTTGTCTATATTTACTTGCATGGAGATATCATCATCATCCAGCGTGTGAATCTGTATTCGGGATAAGGCATCTGCATTTGTGTTTTGCGGTCCCTTTTTATATTTAATTTCAAAGTTGTATTCCTCTAAACGTAACCGCCAGTTAGTGAGTTTACTGTTGGGTTCTTTAAGAGAGTATAACCAAGCTAGGGGTCTGTGGTCTGTGTAGATAGTGAACTTGTTACCGTAGAGGTATGGTCTAAAATATTTAACGGCCCATACCACGGCTAAAAGTTCCCTTTCTATTGTACTATATCTACTTTCAGTATCAGACAACGTTCGGCTCGCATATGCGACTTTTTTATCCGAACCGACGGGTCCCTGTGATAGCGCTGCACCTATAGCACAATTGGAAGCATCCGTAGTTAAAATAAATTCCTTACTGAAGTCCGGATATTGTAGTAATGGTGAGTTAGTAAGAAGTTTTTTACAAGTTTCGAAACATTGTATATAATCGTCATTAATTTCTATCTTGCTTTTCTTTTTTAAACACGAGATCATAGGCTTTGTTATTTTAGAAAAATCCTTAATAAATTTCCTGTAGTAACCCAGTAATCCCAAAAAACTTTTAATTTGAGTTGTTGTTCTAGGGATAGGGTACTTTAAGACAGTATCGATTTTATCGGTATTCGGTCTTAGCCCCTCTCTAGTGATAGTGTGACCTAGATAAAGTACTTCTTTTCTAAGGAAGTGTGACTTGTCAAGTTGTACTTTAAGGTTTGTTTCTCGAAACCTTTCAAACACTGCCCGTAGTTTTTGGGCGTGTTCCTGCAAGCTTCTCGAGAATATGATAACGTCGTCAAGGTATACTAGGCAATGCAAGCCCTGTAGGCCTTTTAACACGTTATTCATTGCCCTCTGGAAGGTTGCTGGTGCTGTTTTAAGGCCGAACGGCTTCCTATTGAACTCAAAATGTCCAAAAGGTGCACTAAATGCTGTTTTTTCCCTATCTTCCTCCTGGACCTCAATTTGGTGGTACCCACTTGCCAAATCTAGTGTGGTAAAATACATACTTTTACCTAACATATCGAATAAATCGTTTATGTTTGGTAGACGATATTTATCATCTACTGTAATGTCATTTAGGCGTCGATAATCCACCACCATTCTCCATTTCTTTTCACCAGATGCATCCATTTTTTTGGGTACAAGGTGTACTGATGCGCTCCACGGGGAGTGGGACTCCTGAATGACATTATCTTTCAGCATTTTATCCACTTGTTTTTTATTTCCATTGTCTGGCATGGGGGTAGTCTGTA